TGTAGAACACAGTTTTCTTGCATACTTACAAGGCCATGGTCCACACGGAAAAACGCCATCTGACAGGGTTTATTTAAAAGGTTAGAAAAAGCAATGAAGGCATCTGCAGTATCCAAGTTCAAGATCAATACTGCTGCTATGAATGACATGCCCTGTACCTGAAGAAAGGAGAAGCATTACCATTCAACAATAACTGTATTCTTCCAAGAATATTGCCTTATTTTGTCCTCGCAATCACTAGTGTTTAATGCACTCACTGAGCTGCTGAATTTTGCAAAACATTCAGAAAGGCAGGATTTTTTACCCCAGGTAAAACCCTTTGTTATGGCACATTCAGAGCATGGAAGCTAATGACCCCCATTCCTAATGATCCTTTCAAAGACTAAGTAAAACTCCTAAGACAGGCTAAGATGACAGCACTTTCAAATATGCAGAATAAAGATTTTTTTGAAGAATAAACTGTTTCTAAGCAATCCCTCTTCTCCTAAGGATGGGTCATATATACCCTTATTTGTGGAAAGTTGGACTAGGACGCTAGAGACAAAGATTGTTCTTTCCTTTTCAATTACCAGCAGTTACAGACAACTGCAATGACTCATTTGACAAGCAGTACCATTGTAAGATTAAGCTCACGTTTCATTTACCATAAGCTCATGATGTTGTTGCATTTTTCTACAAAGCATGCCATGGAATCAATCCTGACTTTAGGCACAGCTCCCTCACTCAGAGGGTGTAGCGCTACCACTGCAGTCACGTGGACCAAGGTGTGACAGTCCTTCCTGCAAACCTGAGGAACAAGCTCCTTCCCAACACAATAACAGGTTCCGCACAAAAACAAGCTCACCACCTGATCTGCCCTTTTTCTAGTTTCCCAGCAGTCATGTTCAGCAGTTTTTGCCAAGCATCGCATGGTACTCGCAGAAAGGAACATTGTCTTTCTACATTTGCCTTCTCTAAAACACCTGCTCCTGAATAAAGAATAAGCCTCTATATACAGCCCTGCTCTGGGAAAAAAAAAGACTAAGTGAAGTATCTGAAATCCATTCAGTTCTCTAATAATCACTACTTCAAATACTTTGAGGGAGCTCACATAGCCTCAATGGGCATTGCTTTAAAGACTGTTCCAGAAGCTCACAGTGCTAAGGCACAGAAATGCCTATCAAGAGGAGTAAGATACTCTACAGAAGAGTCTCAGTAAGACTGGCATTAAGAACAGTAGGTACTTCAAAGGACCAATTTAACAACATCTTCTGACTCCAATTTTCAAGCACTACAAATATGTACTTTTGAGTTTTCCAATTACTTAACATATTAAAAAGCTTAAATCTAGCAACAGAATCATGATATACACTTCTCAAGCATGTAATGGAATAAAAAAAAAAGTATTCACTAAATCATTTAATACCTGTCTACAAAGGACTAACACAATCCTCCCTTCTCCTAGTTCCCTCTCCCCACCCCTGAAAAAAAATTCTTCACTTACATAGCCCACATCAGGTCTGTAACAAGTATAGGCTCCTAAAATACTGTGCAACGTGTCATGGTAAGGACCACCCTATAACAAAACAAAAAGAAGACAATACATCTGAGTATGTAACAAACATGTCAAAAAATCCTTCAGTTCTATAGACAGTACCTATTAATTCTGATGAAGGACACATTATTTCTCTATGCAGCTTTGAACAGCTCCAAGCCTTTCAACATAATTCTGGCTTCAGAAGCATGAAACAGCCCTCCATACCATATTTATTACAAATGCATACAGTTCATCCAATACATCAATTACATATGAAATCCTTATGCAAGAGGAACGTAAGCCTAAGCGATTCCTTATAGCTTAGCAGCACTTTGACAATAATGCCAGGAAAGCAGAACACTAATGAGAACTACTTAATTGTCTACTAGACTAGAGGCAGAATTCAACAATGAAGAAAATAGTTAAAACAACAACATACCATAACACACACAGAGCACATCAAGAATGACATATACAGCTAAAAAGAATTTCACATTGTTGACTATTAACAGCTGCCATATCTTACACTAAGTAACTGGTTGAGAGTTTCCAAAGGGAAAAGTTTTTCACCACAAAATGTTGATTTACTGCAATCTAAACTTTTCACAGGGCTGCTGAAATTTGTGTATAGAAGGACAAAATATCTGGTTAAAATGAGTCATTAAAGCACACCAAAAACATACAAGTTAAACTGGTCTTGCATGGAACCAAAAAAAGGCCCCCAAATCTTGCTAGCTTGAGCTGTGCTCTCTCTCACTTATCGTGTATTTGCAACCCAGCAGTGTTGATTCACTGATTTGGAAACACCCACCTGCATCACTTTGTCACTTTGTCAGACAGAAACCAGCATAAACTGGGCTAGATGAATCACAACGATTAGCCAACAGATTGGTTTTTGCCTCTTCCAAATGTAGAGTACCTTGAGGTGACTCTTTTCTAGTTTTTATAGTTTTCCAAAATCCTTAGGAACTTTTTCATCTCAACAGGTCTACTCCTTCAGATTTGAACTCAATGGGCTGTTTCAACCAAGGGACAAGCAAGATTATGTAAACTTAATTTCTCTGAGAAGTCAAGACACAAGTTAATATTGCTTACTTGTTGGAATATACAGAGATTAGGAAACGTTCTTGAGATATCCAGTTTTATTAACTCCAAGCTTGCTTCTCTGTCAGCTGCAGAAAATCCAGCATCTACAAAAGCCAAAGTTACTGCATTTATTACATGGATTGGTGTACGCTTTTTTTTTTTTCCTTTCTTTTTTCCTTCTGGTAAGGGTTAACATTTGCACAGTTCATTTATTTCGATACGAATGCTAGGGAATAAGGGTATAGACAGGACAATTCCCTGAATTCAGCACATAGGCTAAGAAGCAAGTATGTCCTGACTCAAAGCAACCCTACAGCGCACACTGACCATCAATGTATTTCAAAGTGATGTGGGGAAAGATGCAGGGCAAGGCAGGCCAGGCACTCTACTGGTATCCGCTGACAAAACATTAGACAGACACCAGCCTGTTAACCTGTTACCCCTCAGCCTCAACAACGCTTCCCAGTGGCTCCTGAAATAGCTGTCTCTGTGGAAAGGTTGTGGTGGGAGGGAGAAGTCCTAAAGCAGAAGCATTTGATGGATGCAACTTATCTCTACGACTGTCAGCTCTCCTTCCAAAATCATGTTTATTTACTCTTTGTATGTGTTGTTAAAGATCATGGACACTGCAATACACTCTCCATAACTGAAACGGATCTCATACACAGTAAATTTCTAAAGTATTAGTTTTCTTTCTGATATCAAAAAGTTCTATTTGTATTTTGTCTGTTCTGATAAGTACGGTCGGGAATTACCTACTGCTACTTATTGAACAATCAAAAAAAAAAAAAAAAAAAAAAAAGTGTTACTAAACAAAAAAAAAAAAAAAAAAAAAAAAAGAGTTGTCACTAGCCAATGTTTACACCAACCACCTGAGCATAAACACTCCAGAAACAAAGAGGAAGCTGGGAACATACTAGATGTCATCTTATTTAAGGTGCAATCTTAACAAAACAAAGTAGGGGATTTCCAATCAAAAATATTTTTTTTGTTGATAAATGCCAGTACCTATGTCCTCCTTTTCCTGCTCAACATAATTACTTACCAAAGGCAATTTCAAGCATCTGCACGTAGTTTTACACTCTCTCAAAAACAGACAACTCTTCCAATCAATTAGTAAATCTCAAACCACTTCATCTGCAAAAATAAATTGCTGCTCTCTGAAACACAGCCAAGAGATGGGCTCAAAGCTGCAATAAGGGACTAAAATGCAATTTTCTGCTATACTTTGAGTTTCAATTCCAAAACTACAGAGGCAGAAAAGTATTTTAGTGTTGCAATTCAAATTATAATCTCCAAACTTTCCTAGTTTTCCTACAAAACAGCATCAAATAAGAACTGCACCTAGAGATGGTTTATAAAGAAAAATGAGCAAGTGTGTTTTAAAAGAGACTACAGTTTCACTGAGAAGAAAGAATACAGCTGTTTCTCGGTTCCACAAAAAGCAGCTTGCTTTTTACCAGAGGCACCTTTATAGCTGATTTTTTTTTGTTTGTTTAAAGATCTGTGATTTCATTTTAAGGAACAATTTTACAAAATCTCATCTTTTGTAACACAACATAAATCCTTCACAAAATGCCTACCTTCACATTCTACTTCAGTCCCTCCTATGCTAAGTGATCGCCATTTCTCTTTGGCACGAGCCAGGCAAATATTGTACAGTTCTAGAAAAAGAAAAACAGAGAAAACCAAGTCCAGCTCGTGTCCACTGGCAGGTACCAACTACCTACCAAATGAGCAATGCTGCCCCAGTCATTGCAAGTAACAGTATCTCTAACATAGCAGTTAAATTTCTAAGTAGGTTATGGTTCTGAAAGACTTGTTCCACTGACCTATAACCTAAGATTAAGTGAAAAGGAAAGGCAATCCAGGCACAAGTTGCATTTTATGTTCAAGCATTTACTTTTCTTGCAGAGCACTGGTGTTCAAAATTATGGTCTGAATGGATAATTGGGTAAGTCTAGAAAACTCCATTGAGAACTACACCCAAGGTAACCAAGTCAAGCACAGAAAAGCAGCACAATACAGCTGGAGTACAGGCAGTCTACCACATTTCCACGCTGGAATTAATTATATATTCTTTCAGAGTTACATTTTTCTGTACTCTAAAGTAGCACGCTATTTCTATTTTCACAAACACACACATAAACAAAAGGTCTTTTAATCTCCCACAGACCTAATGTCTTGCTCTAAATCAAAGGAAGCAGCTATATGCATACCAATAGGCATTACAAAATTAACAATTCTAAGTTTCAAAAAGAAAAAAAAAATCTTGAATCACTAATTCTGACCATCTTCATCTAACATCAAATCAAGACACAGCAACAGCAATAATCAGAAACAATTCACAGCAGCAGTACTACAGCAGTTACAAGATTAAGACACTATTTTTGAACAAAACACATCAATGCACCACAAAAAAAGCGTAACTAGATAACATCTCCTCACACCCACATCTCAGGTTCTGATACACCATAATAAATACAAGACTGTCCCCTTAACTACTTCTCTTTGTAAGACAACATAGACAAAAAAAGAGTCTCACCATGGGTGATGTTTAACTCGTTACCAATTGCCAAGCTCCAGACTTTGCCTCTCACGCTTGGTGGAATGCCCTGCCACCATAGCTCTCGAACTTTACGGGAACACCACCTGTTTAAAATAAAACTGATTATTCTAAGAAATATTTCATTGCCAGGTGAATTGTGAATGTGTCCTCCTACCACTGCTGAAGGGATCCAAACCAAAATGAGCATCAACAGGCCAAGAAGTCAAATGTGGTTTGCATATACCCATTCTTTAGTACTAGTTTGCTTTGAACTGTGAAGGAAAGCTTACTTCCTTCCAAGGTAACGGCTTATTTTGGCAGAAGCACTGCAATCACAATATCCGTAATCTGTAACCACACTTGACCAGCAAGAATCATAGGGGACAGAAATACACAAACAAAAATGAAATAAGTATCTATGCCACTGCCTATGCTAAAGACTGGACAGGCTTAAATATCCATGTAAAATTAAATACAGAAACAAGTTATGGAAATCTACCCTTTCCCCTGTGTCATCACCCTGCTGTGCAAACGAGACATGCAGGTTCCCACCCACCTTCGCAGCTCTAGCCCTCCAGAAAAATGCATGACGATGTAACAAGTGACAACTTTTAAGTGGGAGCATGAAAGACATTTTATCAGAACACATGCTTTGAAATGGCTGCAGCTGATGTTCGTCAATCTAAGAGCCCGTATGGAGGAACACAATAGCAACTAAGCACCAATGAAAGTTTGTGGTAGTGACAAAACCCACAATAATCCATTTACCTAAAAGCAGATTCTGAACTAAAATGTAAAACAGTCAATAGATCGGAGAACTTCCGGATTTATAAACCAATACAGCAAAAGGTGCCCTTATTTTAACAGGTGCATCTTCAAATACTACAGACAGACATGTAAATCTGCAATTTGCTTATACTTTTATTATTTCAGTTCTCCAGAAATGCATTTTCCAACAAATTCCGTCCATATTTTTAACATATATTCTCAGGACAACTGAATACCATGATTAATCAAACTGCAATTGTGAGTGCTGCTGTGGAGACTGGGTTTTAGTGTTGTGGTGGTGGTGGTGGTTATATTCACGACAGGGGTTGTGGTTTGTTTTTTTTAAGATGACTAGCAAAGTCCATGAAAAACTAGACAGTGAAGGTAGCTTACCAATCACCTGTTCTGTGTCTTTGTAGGAAATCTTTTAGCACTTAGTATTTTTTTAAAATAACTTTTTCCCTACTTCTCTTTTCCATCACTTGATTATCCCAGCAGGTATACCACTCGGTGTTTAAAGAGGCTTCAAAATACCATACATGTACTTCAATCTACATCTGATATTATAAAATCAAGAGCTCAAGTAGTCAAGGAAAGCTCATTGCTGATAAATGCACACTGTTCAAGCATCAAGCTTTCTGCTTTTACATTCTCTACTGCAGGTCACTTCTCAGTGTTTCACAGTTTCTGAATATCCTGAACCTCGATTAAAGACAAATAACAAGAACTGCATCACTTCCAGCCACCTTGTAGAAATAATGAAACATACGTTGCTCATTTTTTTTGTAGCTGTCCAAAAATGACTTTTGAACAAAAGCTTCCAAAACCATTTAAAATTACACTTGCTAACTTTATAACTTCTCTTCAGGATACGGACTCAGCGATGTTAATTAAAACTCAGTATAACATACTGTCTTACATAGTTTCCCAGTTGGGCAAGATTTCATTGTTCCACGTTAAAACAGCACTGCCAATGCTGTCTTCCAGTTTGCAGCGTTCTTCCAGTTGTTTCTTTCTCTTCTGGGCTTCTTTGAGCTCTGCAGAAAAGCAATTTCCTTTTTAAGTTAATAAAACCAGAAACTAAAAGTTCAGAGTTAGCTATTCATGGCTATATACCCATGTAAAAGCACACTACATTCACCTACATGTACAGTGCACTGTTCAAGTTCTAAAAATTTCCCAGACATCCAGCAAGTTAAGCAGTGATGCCAAATAAAGAAAAAAGTGGAACTATGCATAAGGCTTATTTTCGATGGATAGAACAAAAAGTGTTGGATAATATATGGTTCCTTTGACCCTTCAAATCTAACCATACAAGTAACTTTAAATTAGCATCTCTGACAGCCAACAGCCCTACATACCTAGTAGGACAGCTCAGAATATTTCCTAATAAAGCCTCACCCCCTTTTTAATGGCGGACTCAAAAATACAGGCTAAAATAATACAAATTTTGTATTTAGCTTTCACTCTTATGTGTTGGTCTCTGTAAATTATGATTTAGATATGCTGTCAGGAAATCACAAGAGCCACATTTTTTATGCTATTTAGTATAATAATCTAAATAGTAAATAATCTAAATCTTAGTGTATCATCTAAATATTATATATCACAACTATATACTGGAAACCTTCAGTTCATTAAAAATAAAACATTTTCAATGTTTAATTTAAACATATTTAATTTAATGTAACCATTTTTGCATTATCACTCAGTATTTCTTCTTGCATCATCAACTACTATTTTTTCCACAGGTAAATTTGTTAGACGTGGAATTTAAGAAGTGCAGGTAGACACTCTTTACAGCAGCTCAGTGGAAACACAGGACATATGCGTGTGCGCACACACTGTCTACAATCTAGGACGGTACTGACCTGGTGAGGAAAACCACCTGAAGAACAGCAATACCATGAACAAGGTCTTTGGAATGAACACATACAACCTGATGGGTCCACTTTAAAGCCCAACAGAAGCTATGCCTGAGCAGAACCACACCAACTGCTTCCTAGTATTTTCAGCTTTGATAAGAGCTCTTTGTGAGACTGCCTAAATGCAGGCTTTGAATTTTTCTCTAAACAAAAAGAGGGTGTTTACACACTCTAATTTCCTGACCTCTACACAATACATCACTCTGCAAAGTTGTTCATCTGGAGTGGCTTTTGGGAAAATAGGTTTGTCAGGATATTTATCTGGGCAGAATGACATACTCCAGTGCAGTGAAGGCAGCACAAGGACCTGGCCCATTGCCTAACCTGAGCACCATCCCATTTCTCCCAAACCATCTACCCTATGTGCAAAGAAAGGACAAAGAAACTCCTTTGGACTACTACCCATTAAGTGGATATACTAACATCGGAGTCACATGAAGTTAGAACTTCCCTGGTAGGTGTATGATGTTCAAAACCACAAGAGGATACTTTTATTAATATGTCAACTGCAGAAAGTAAGCAAGTCGTGTTCATATCACCCTTCCATTGTTTCATATGGCTCAGAGGTCTGGACAGCTGGAAAAAAAAATATTTCCAGTAGCTCTTGCTGGAAAACAAAACTTCTGAATCCCAATTTCCTATTATTGCAATGCTTTTTATGAGAAAACCCAGATGGTCAAAAATATCAGCAGAAGGAAACCACAACAGTCAGCTCTACCTGCTATGCATGGTACAGTGCTGCTGAAACACTTCTGTGAACAATGTCAGACAAGAAAGTATGAACAAAACCTTTGGAAAGCTGTAAAGTGGGAGATAGATTATCAAATGAACATATCAAGGTACATTTTCCTATGTGGAAAATTACATATTTATGTACTACAGCCTCAACAGGTTGTTCCCAACATAAAACTATCAAATATCCTGTAGTTATCTAAATAAGTCTAGTCTTCACTAATTTGATTGATAATCTACTTCAATATATTAGTATGTTTTTAAATCCATGAACAGATGCCACTCAATTATTTAAGAGTTACAAATTAAAAATGTCCTTCCTGCTGGATTCTAGGATTGTTTTCTTTTTCAGCTTAGTGTGGGGCTTTTTAATGAAACTACCGTCATCCCTCTCTCTTCTCTGGGTTGGTCCTTCTTTGAGTGGAGGTACAGATCCCTCATGCTACAGACTGAGACAAGTGCATTTCAGTTTTAGAAATACCCCTTAATTTTACTTTTCTCCTCTGAAGACAAGAAATTCCATCACCTCTTTTTTTCGCTTGAACCACCATTTCTTCGTACTGTTGTCTGTGTTTCTGAGCTTCTTCTGCTGGTTTTGCAGGGAGGTTCCTTAAATTCAAAAAATAATCAGTATTTAAAGTTGGCAAACCCATCTAAAGAAAATTCTAGACACTTCTAAAAGAAAAACATATACTGCTTCTTGTCAAAATAGAGTAACAGATCCTTGGAAAGAATTTTTTTTTTTTTTGCCAGAGTCAGCAGAAGAGAAGGAAAGAACACTGACTGGCTATGACTACTTTTATACACAAAATATGCTGAGTAATTTCCTTATGTTTAGTAATTTCAGCATTTTTATTAATAAACCAACTGAACCCACAGGCTGATTTTCATAAATAAAGGGAATGTAACAAACTGGTAGTTTTGTTTTAAAGTGATCTATACAGGTAAGATATAAGACCATACTCTTGCTTACTGTGCGCATCATTTAAGAGTTACATCCACAACCTTCTTTACCCATGCAGTAACGGCTCCCCACACCAGCTTCCTTTTCCCCTCTGTTCTCTGAGACCCCATTTCTATTTTAAATGCTTAATTTCTCCACTTCGCTTCGACAGCCACAAATGGCACTGCAGTCATCCTCTACATTCTCCACTTATCAATACCAACACATCCATTTTGATTTGTGATTAAAGCCTGGACTGGTAACATCTCTACCATACAAATACATGTGCTCATATGTCAGACCACACTAACTTTAAGCTAATCATATTTGTAATTAACATAATCACTATCTCATACAACTACAGGATCACCAAAACATTAGAACAGGAAATGACTAACTATTTTGTTCTTCTGTATTATAGAACACAGTATTGTTTTCCTAAGACAGTTTATACCTTTGGTTAATAAAAAAGATATGCAAAAATTCACTTTCACATTCCTGTAAGGTGTCACACATAAGGCAGCTGGTAGCCATGAACATCATCATCATCAGTAGTAGTATGTTTTCCTACTCATATAATAGTATTATCTGTAAAGTATGCATAGCCATGTGATGCATTGCCTATGAATATTTTTTAAAATCAAGATTGTTACAAAAGCAAGTGGATTTTCATATTAGAATCATTGTTAACCACAGAGAACACTCTACTCTTTTCCAGTTTCATTTATGTAAAACGGCCAGCATCTGTTTCAAATCCAAGTCTTTAAGTTAGGGAAAGGTTGGAAAGGAAAACCAGATGAAACAATGCAAGTTCTGCTAACTTAAATGCCACCACTTAAATTATTTGTCCTGTCTCTTAATGACACCATCATACATGTGAGATGATGTTTATTGTCTATTAAGATTCAACTAACACTTTTTCCAGTTAAAGCTAGAGTGACTATGGAATATTTACTGATTTTTCCTAGAAAGTTTTACCTAAACTCTACAAGTGAGTGCAAAATCAAGAGCAGCCTTTTTGGAAAAAAAATCTCACTGCATTTTTCTTCCAGAAGTCTTAAATCTTTTTGTCATAGGAAATAAAAAAGAAATTACTTAAAGCCTAAATTTTTTTAAAAAAAGTATGCAAATGGTAAGTAAATAATTAAAAAAGATTCTTTGGAAAGATTCATCAGAGGACAACACTGTTGTGCAGAGCAGTTTTCCCTACTAGACAAAAGAAATGATTATTCAATTGTCTAGAATCTTAAAATACCTTTCCTGTGTTAGGAGTTCCTCAGTCTATCAACAGTAGGACAGAAAGCAAAATCTGAGTGTTATTCTGGAACGTATCACTAATGCAATCTATCCGAACACTGTGCTTCTCAGATTATCTCACATAAAGAACAATTTTTAACAGATAGGTCTTAAATACAACAAATAAGCTAGTATGTATTGTTTCCAGCTGTACACAATAAAACCTGCTATAACAAATAATCACTCTTATGTTGTTCTAGATCTCCCAAGAGGTCTTGTCACATAGTCTACCAGTCAAGCCAGAAACTGTCTTAAATGACCCTACAACTAGACTTGTTTGACATGAGCATTCTTCATACAGATTTGTCGATGAAAATACAGACTTACGTTACGTCAGTTCTTTACACCAATGCACAGCTGTATTAAAAATACAGACGCTGTGCCTGTAAAGCCGGGTACAATTCATAAATTGACTAAACATGACTGCATTTGTGTAATTCAGGAGCAAACCATGGTAAAGCAGCTGCCAGTAAATCGGTACGGAGTTAGTCTGCATATGCAAGAATCTCCCTGCAGTAACAGCAGCATGAAACAACTTACCAACTACTGGACAACCTTTAAAATGTGATGCTGAACCCACTGCAGAACAATCATTATATTGTTTCATTATTTATGGAGGTGTGGTCTTTCTCTGTGTAAACAGGACACTGTATCGTTCCTTCTCAATTTCGTTAGCATATACCAGCTTCATTTTTCTGCTTACATTCTCTCAAGGAAAATAAAAATCTCTTATTCATGTTTAGAAGCTGGAATTACTCAAAACTAGAGCTCTGCTCTCCTAATTGCCTCCCGTTCTACAAAGCCCTTGCTTTTATTAGAAAATAAGGTTACTTTTTTTGAATATTTTTTCTCATAATTATCCCACTTTCATATTCACTAGCCTGAAAAAAATTGTACTTTAAACTTTAAATCATCTGTTGAAATTAGAGTAATCAAATACACACAGTAAGAAAAGTTTTGCTAGCCTGATTTTAAAGGGACCCTCATTGTGGTACTTCCAAAAACTTACGCTGGTCTGTCCTCTAAAATAAGTGCTGTAGTGGAGAGTGGTTCAAAATCGAGGTTCTTCCTCACATTCTGTTTAGGAGAGAGTGGTCTGTGAGATCGTCCAGTTTTTTCTTCATATTCCTAGAGAAGCAAAAGACAGGGCAAGTTACAAGAGTGGAGAACATCAAGATGATGCACATGAGAAATTAAACAAGGTCTACAAAAGTCTTCAAGATAATGCTTTCACATCTCTGCCCCGCTGCAGTCCTTTAAAGCTTTTCAACTAGAATAATCTCAGAATTGAAAACAATGCTAAAATTTATGTTCAGGAGTGAGTTTTGATGGTTTTTTCCACTCCTATCTGCAGAAAGATCTTAAGTTCCTCTGAGTGGTAGTCTGCTTTTACAAAGTACTGCTAAGTACAAGCTTACAAACAACAGAAACTATCTGAGGTATAAAATGAGACCTATTTAAAGCATTTTTGTTTTGATTTACATCATTTTGAATTTGAAGCCAAAAACAACCACAAGCTCCTTGTCTTAAAATCTCATCGTAAGATTTTTCCTACCCAAGAACTTATTTTCAGATGCAACAGTTCAAGGATGGCAAAAAAAATAAAGGTTAAAAACACAGTTAGACAGAAACCCCACACTTGTTATGATGCCTTGAGGTACAACAATCCTAAACCATGACAACATAAGGTATTAACTTGTGTTTGTAATATAGACATGGACACACTGGAGCAAGACTAGCAAAGAGGCATCAAGATGATGGGGGTCTGGAGCAAGTGACATAGGAAGAGAGGCTGAGAGGACTGGGCTTCTTCAGCCTTGAGAGGAGCAGGCTTCGTAGCGATCTTTGGGAGACAGCAGTAACAGGACGGTGAAGGCTGAGTACAAGTGTCTGGGGTGCTTGTATAAAGAATGTGAAGACAACAGGCACAAACTGCTACAAGGGGAATTCTGGTCTTGGGGAAAAAAAAAAAAAGTCACTAGAAGGGCAGTCAAACACTAGGACAAGTTTCCTGAAATGTGGTAGAACCCCCGACCTTGAAGGCATTCAAAGCTCAGGTCGATGAGCACTGGAAACCTGGTCTACACAGACTCTGCTCTGAGAGCGGAGTTAGCCCCTCAGAGGTCCTTCCACCCTTAATTACTCTCACTATGATCTACAGTAGAGGACTGGCCATTACATGTACCATGCTATTTTTATTTTTCCTACAAACACTGATTTGGAAGAAAATGTACCAAAAACATGACCTAATGGGATATAACAACCTTTACACAACTATCATCTACTCCAAAGCTTGAAGTACTACAGCAAACATTAAGTATTCAAAGTATCAGTGTTATACAAACAACAAATATGGTCAAACAGTCCGATGGAAAAAAACAAATCCATATTATACATACTTTTACATTCAACTTTATAATTAATTTTGCCACTTCTAAAAACCACCTGCTTTCATGTGCAGTTCGTTTATACCATTTCTATTAAAGTAAAAAAAAAACAAAACAAACTACACTGTGAAAATTAATTTTAAATGAGCACTACAAACATTGTTCCAGCCATGGATGTCTTCCTATTAGCACAAACAGCTCCTCAAATGGTACTGATTTCTTTCTCTTAACCTAACCTGTCAATGATGTTAAAACTTCCTTGGACAACAGATTCAACCTTTCCAACACAATCAGAACAGCCTGGATCATTCAGAAACTAAACCAGGATCCCCACCACTTCCAGGAAGGCCTTCTCCTTCACCCTCCCCTTAAAAAAAAAGGATGGATGAAAACCAGACATGAATGCAGAGCAACATGGCTGTGGTTTTCTACTCTGTGTTGTACAACTCAATCCTAGTTCAAGCTAGTTCTGTAGGACTCATGGGTGCAGGTCTGTGAAGCTCTCAGGACACAGAAAACCCCTCTTTTTCCACATTTGTTAACTGGGCACTGTCCCAACAATCAATCCTATGACGCCTGCATTGCTGTGACGGGAAACATTGTCATGAACTTGGAATGTCTGGCTCATTAATACCCATTACTACTGCTACACATGACATCAGTTTGGAAATGAGGAAAAGAACCAAGAAAAACATATTTCAAATACTGAATAGTACATAGCTTTGTTTAGCAAAGGGATAGTACTCATGCTGACAAAGCTGTTCATTAAAAAAAAAAAATATCCAGCAAGAAAACAAGCAAAGAAATATAGTAAAAAAAAAAAAAAAAGTATTGTGGTTGAGAGCATAAGCAGCTGATAGTGACCAGTGTATGAGTGTACCATCATAACGTGCTCCAGCTGCACCATCAACTGCGGAGCATAGCCACTGTATTGACAGGAATGAAGCCAATGGCTATTCTTCCTCCCAATTTCTATTAGAAGACTGATTTTTTTTTTATTAGCTATTTTTCACAAATTAACATAGTCAAATATTAACCTCTATTACTTCTTCCAGAGACAAGGTGAACCTTGTCCCTAAATCTAATGTTTTTCCTCCTTTGAGACACTACTAGTGAAAAAAAAACCATTCGGCATCCACAAGAAACTGCTAATATGCAGAAATCGTCATATATTGATCTCCCTAAAGCATCACAGAACTTGACATTAAAACACATGCACCCAATTCTTATTATAGTAGAAGTTTCAGAAAAGCTGCTTAATTTTGGCTTACAAAGATTATTTTCAGGGTCTTCTTTCATTGAAAGCCAATTGCAGAGCAAAATTGCTTTTGGAAGGTGAGACAAACTGTACGCACTGGGCTGTAATGGGGATTTTATTCCATACACTAGAATTAATTTGGAAATCTCATTCAGCTAAGCACAAAGTTTTCCAGACCAGCACTGCGCATATCATTCTTCCGAGAATTTCTTGGTTAAGGGTTTTTTTATTTTGGAATATGGGTGGCTAGTTACAGTATTGGCATATTAGTACAGTTATTCAAACCCATTAAAGACCAAAAGCCCACCGTGCATTTCAGCAAGCATTCACTGACATCTTCCACTCAGCACTACCCTACAGTAAAGAAGCCAGACCAGCACAAAAATGGGAGTGGCACATTTTATCAGACCGCAAGTATGAGCCCTTTGTAGTAATTTCATCCTTTTCAGTAGTAGCCAAAAAAGAATAAAAATGTTGGTGACAGTCATTATCTACAAGACTGTTTTTTAATTAGGGGAAATTAAAGAAAGAAAGAAAAAAAAACCCAACAGCAAAACAAACCAAACAAAAAAAAGAGCCCAAAATTCACAGAAAACAAAAGCTCATGAAAATGATCTTTTACTCCAATAAGAGAACACAATTCTGAACAGAGCACAATGTATGATACAGCAGTGAAGCTGACTGAAGCCTCCACAAAGTCATGTTAAGAGTATCTGCTGACTGAGCAAGTAGAAGTATTTGCACATACAGGCATACTGCAATAGGCTGAACCACACAACAGCTCATTTTAAGCCTTTCTTCTTCTAAAAAAACCAGACTCAAATCTCTCACAGGTACAAATAATTCAGCATCTATTTAACTCCTGTACTGTAATTAGGGGTTATTAGCCTGATATGGTTGCAAGTTAATTTTAGGATCAATTTAGGATAAGCCCATCATTTACTATTTAGAATACATCCTTAACACTGAGATCGCTTAGGCTTTCTTCCAGGTTTTGTCTTAACCTATTCAGCGTTCAGCCACAAAAGCTGAACTAGGGTTTGAAGATGTTCTAAGAGACTGTGCTGTAGATTAAAGCATAGATTTAAAAAAACCCAAACCAAACGAAGAAAAAACCCTACAGAAACACACTCCCCGAAACCAAGTTTAATTCTGGGTGGAACCAGACAGCTTTGCATTTAAGATACAAGAAGGTCGAGTTGTGGTGATCCTATAAAATTAGCGAAGCTAACCTGCAAAGGGATCCTAAACCATCTCTACAGAGAAACGCAAATAACCCACCAGAATACAGAGCAAGTGCTAAAAGACCAACGGCGCTAACCGGGAGAGGGCTGTGTGACCTCTCATTTGCACCGAGCCTCCCCCGGGACCAGCAGCATGGCATCAGTGAACCTACAACAGACAAACTGCTTTATCAAGGTCATCTTCTTTTGGCCCTGTTTGTTTAAAGATAACCGCTGATCCGAGGAAGCCGAGTATGAAATATTCATGCCAAGTGACAGTGGCAGACACCACACCACTAGACTCTTGCTCCACGGCTAGCAGCTTTGCACGGGATGGGAGGTGGCTGGCC